AACTTGACATTTTAAGTAAGCATTTTTCTGGCTTTTTAGCCCAGAACAATAGGCCATAGCCTTAACCTTTGATATCCGATACATAAATAATCTGGGAGTTCTTTCCTTCTAAAAGATGCACTAATTTAAATTTCTTCCACAAGCCCATCATTCATGTTTCCCCATCAAAGGGTCTGGTCTTAGAGCTGCTATCTTGTTATATTGCTCAATGAAAAAAATTAAAACTTTTTATAATAAATATCAAGTAGGTAGCAAAATTGTCTTTGACTTTTCTTAAGAGTCATAATATTGACTTCACAAATTAAATAGAGCCATTAATGCACACCCTGGAATAGATTTTCAATACTTGAACAGAATCATCATATAGAGAAATGTTTTATGACACCCAGGATATTTCCTAGTGAAGAGAAGAAAGAATAATATATAGAGAAAAAAAAGGAAGCAATTATGTATGGAGATTTAAATAAATTGTTGGGGTTTTATTTTGTCTAAGTAATCCACAGTACTGTGGTTTGTTTCATTCTTTCCTTCAAACTTTTTTATCTGAAAATATGTATCTGAATTAAAACAAAATTATGAACTCATTTCTACTAAACCCACAATCAGCATCCAGCCTAAACTCCTCCCTTTCTTCTCTGCTAACTCCTCCCTCTCCTCTCTCCTTCCCTATGAAGGTTATTGTAAGATTTCCACATGAAGTCATAGCTAGGAAGCAAGAATTTTATGTGAGCTTGTGACAAATTGAAATAAAATGTGCAACGTAGCTGCCTCATGTTGCAACAGTTGAAACAGTGTTAGCTAAGGTAGGAAATTTTACAGAGCCTCTCTATAATATATATACCTTTATTTCTGCTGTTTCTATGTCCCATTGAGACTACACTGTTTATTGTGCTTCTGTATACATTGATTCTACCTGAGTACGTAGGTGTCAAGGGAATGAAAACGCTGCAAGGCCAAAGTCTGTTCCTTGATAATACGTTTCACAGTTGCTCAAGTGCAATTTTGTTGAATTAATTATGGTAAATGAGACCATAGCACTAACGCTTTTTTTTCCCTCAACCTGCTGTATTTTAATGTCACTGCATTGCTGCACATCCAAGTCTACCATTCAGGCATTCAGACATTAGCATTGTTTCCATGTGGGAGGTAACACTGAGGCAGAGGCCTCCTCTTGCTTTTACATGTGTTATAGATGAAGAATGAGTCAAAGCTTCTCAGTCTCCATTGTCTCTGATCTGTATTTGAGAGACAGCACAACACATAAGAGAGTATACAACAACTTCTCCAAGGACTTTTCCATCCTCCTTGATAGAGTAACTAACACCTCTTCAGAAAAAAAACAAAAGAAAATGAAGAAAAATCCCCAATTCTGCCTGGCAAAGGCTATGATGGCTAACAGGTGGCAATTAAACACTAGTAGAGTGTGTCCACTTCCCATCTTCCTTAAGACTCACTAAGCAGAGTTTCAAATAGCAATACTCAATCTGTGAACTGACATATCTTGAAATTATACTGATTGGTACTTCCACCTGTATCTGAAAACATTAACTCAGAGAATTTTCAGCCTCTGCATCATATAATCAACACCTTGTTCAACGAATTTAAAAGAAATCTTCAATAGATTTTTCTATTTAAGTTATTTATTAATTTAATTCCTGTTAAAAAGTGACTCAGATCTATTCCAGTTGCACTCAATGTCTCCTCTACTTATGATAAATCCCATCTGTATAAACACACCTGTGTGAGAGAAACAGCACACAGAGGTCTACAGATGTTAGATAAAGTGTAAAAGAAAATATTTCAGGTGGGTTTTATCTTGATGGTCTTAACAGCTATATTGCTCTCTCAAGATAGATGCTTTGTTGCCATTGTTTCTGTAAGAGAGGCCTGTTTCTAGTCAGCTTTTGTTATACATACATACCCTCACATTATTTATTTGACCTTTTGGTAAATTCTTGACACTGTGCAGGATCAAGCTGTGTTGTTTTTTTTTTTTTTTTTTTTTTTTTTTTTTTTTTTTTTTTTTTTTTTTTTTTTTTTTTTTTTTTTTTTTTTTTTTTAAACAAGGCTTTTCCTTTTTTTTTGGAAAAAAAAAAAAAGATGTATCTGATCTTGCTTCCTATCTCAGAGCAGGGAGAAAAAGAAAGTCTCAAATTCCCAGTCTTTGCAGCAAATAAGATCCAGAAATGTAAAACACCTGATCGGCATAGAATAATATTTAGTAAAGACTCTTGTTCGCCATAACCTAAATACATCCTGATAAGATTGAGGTGCATGGCTCTCAGATAAGCCAGGCATGCAAATATATGAGATACAGATGCTTGTTATGGCTACACACCAGGGAAGGGAGTTACAGCTATGAATATTCATACCGTTATGTCATCTGAAGATGGCCACCCTGCCCTCCTGCTGCAGGGAGTTCTGGGGGGGCAGAGTTTGCCATGGGTTAAAGTTGTTCTGGGGTCTCAGCTGCCACCAGAAACAGTCCCTGCCTGGCTGAGACAGCAAAAAAAGCTGCACTGCCCTAGTCACCATGCTGACACAGTTGCCCACTGCTGGAGTGCTGCTTCAGGCATCACCGCTGCTGTCAGTGCCACTGCTGCTGCTGCCTGCCCGGGGTTCCTGCACCAGACTGCTGCTGGAGCAGCACCACAGCACAGCTGCCATTTGCCTGCCACTCACCCACCACTCACTTGCCATATGAAACCACTGCCTGTGCTGGGATCACCGAATGGAAGAGACTGAAAGTGAAACGAATTGCTACCGCCCACAGCCCAGCCAAGCCAGGTGGGACAACAGGTGGCAGGGAACAAAGAGAGTGTAAAGTGGTACATCACTGCAGTTGAGACCTGAACCTATCTGAGTGGCATGGAGGGGCCATTTTGGTAGTGTGGCTCCTTGTGATCTGCACACTTTTCCTGGGTTTTTGCTTTTGCCCCTTTCTCCCCTTGTTTTCTTTTGTTTCGGTGGATGGGAGTAGTTGTCAGGGATGACCTTCTGCCATTCTTTTTCCCCTTTTTTCCTGTGGGACCATGTGATGTGGTGAACTCCCTTTTTTGTGGGTAAGCCATTTCCCTTTTACCTTTGTAGTGATGCTATTTTCTTTTATCTTGTTAGTAAACCATTATTTTTTCACCTATAACTTTCTTGCATTTTTTGTCTCTCTATATTTTGGGTGGGTGGGGGGGTGTAATAGGGAATAAAAAGGCGAGGGAGTTCATTTTATTGGCAATATTTGTCTTTAAACCACAACAATGGGCAGTTGTCTGTGGAGACAAATAGGTGAATTTAACACTCAGGGTATGAGAGTTGGGAAGGACTTAGTTTAATAAAAGAGGTTTCTGATGTAGAAGATAATTTGAATTTTGTGTCAAAAAACACTTTGCATTTTATCTCTATACTCACATTGCTTTGTTACTTCCTTTCAGGATCACTTTTGGATAGCCTCTATTCAAGATTTTATCCAATAATTTGCAAGATAGCAGAGGTTTCTCTTTCTAGTAAAGTTCAAGTAGCGATTGCTGCATCTTTCTGCTAGTGAACAGCATAGTAAACAGCTTAAAAATCTCACAGCTATGGAAAGACTGCAGTTCTCCCATGGCCATTGTAGGTCCTTGAGAACCTTAATTTGTATTATGAATGGTATATAATACATGGAATATAATTATTGCATCATGGCAACTTCTATTGAAACAGTTCACTGGCACTGGTAAGGCAAAAAAATTGTTTTTAAGAAGCTCTGTTCCTGCTTAAGGCTAGGCAGATGCTCATAGGAAATAACAAACTTTTTTAAAGGACAGAAGAAGAAGTCAACAAAAGTCAGGAAACCAAGGTAATACTTTTCTGTTTCCTAGTGTAATTCTTAGACAGAACTGCATATTTAACGTAGCAAAACCCAAAAAAATTAGTCTAAAATCTATTTTGTAGAAATTATTTTTCATATTAGGCATTTATGGACCATGAGGAGAGGCTGAGGGAGCTAGGGCTGTTCAGCCTGGAGAAGAGGAGGCTCAGGGGAGACCTCATCACTCTCTACAACTCCCTGAAAGGAGGTTGTAGCCAGCTGGGGGTTGGTCTCTTTTCCCAGGCAACCATCAGCAAGACAAGAGGGCATGGTCTTAAGCTGTGCCAGGGGAGGTTTAGGTTAGATGTTAGAAAGAATTTCTTTACAAAGAGGGTGATCAGACATTGGAATGGGCTGCCCAGGGAAGTAGTGGATTCTCTGTCCCTGGAGATTTTTAAAAAGAGACTGGATGTGGCACTCAGTGCCATGGTCCAGTAACCGCAGCGGTAGTGGATCAAGGGTTGGATTTGATGATCTCGGAGGTCCCTTCCAACCCAGCTGATTCTGTGATTCTATTTTGCATCTAGGATTAAGACCTGGAACTAGATTTATTGTGGAAAATTTGTTTTGAGCAAACTCATATAATTTGAGGATTTGAGTTTTCATAAATTTTTATTAACTTATTGGTCTCAGACTTCAAGTAAAAATGAATAATTCACTTGTATTCAGCCTTTCTCTGAGGAGTTTCATATCCAGAAATGCAAGATGATCCAGTGAATATTGACGAAAATTAACTATAAGATTGAACTTTCAACACATCTATCGAACTGTGTAATTAGAAGTTTTGGACATATTGAGTTCATTTTTGCAATTAACTATGCAAATCTTCTCTACAAACTTTCCTGTAATGTGCTTTGTGCCAAAAGAAAATAAAAGGTCATTCTGAGCAAGAACAGGCTAAGGTGTTGAAACACATCAGACAGCTGATATTTCTTGAAAAAGCTGAGAAATGGAGGTTTATTACTCATCTCCAGTTCCCATGCTTACCATCAATGTGCAACTTACGTGAAAAAGCTAATATTACAAAGCTTAACCTTAGTTTTCTACTGTGACCTTCTTGTATCTCTTTTTCCTATCTATCTGTCTTATAAATACTGAAGTGTATGGGTGGACATAGAGGTTAAGTGAATGTTAACCATTAACTCTCTTATTTTAGAAAAGTATTCTGAATTCCTGTTACCACATAAAGAATCACCAAACCAGGACAAAGCCAGATTTCCTTCCCCACATTTTCATATGGGGAAAATATAGGAAAAGAGTCGGAAGAGAAAATTCCTGAAGGTAATGTGGGAGACCATGATTTGAGTGCTTTTGTGATTATGAAAATGGCTCTTCATCTTCAGTAAAAACATTTGCTTTTTTAGAGTTGTTGAACACCTAGATTTTTCACTAACCTTAGTAGGAGCTGAAAGAATCCAGGCCCTTTCAAAGTCAATACCATAAGAGTACAATACCCTCTAGAGGAATGGAAAGCAACATGCATACATGTTATACATGTTATACACTATTATTGAGTATTTCATGTCTGGCATTAGCTTTGTTCTGAATAAATATTTTTTTTATTCATTTCTGAACTCAATAGTAACTAATAGTGATTGAAATTATTATATTACCCTAAATACCTTCCTCCCACCCCCACCCTTTTCTTTTTAATTTGCTAAAAGTGGCAGAGATTCTTTTGCACTGGAAATACCAGACAGTGATTTTCTAAACTACCCATGATTGCTTCTTTTTTTCTTCACAGCATTTAATTCATTCCTTTTTGATGGGCTTAACTGTCTTGTTACCACTCATTCTCTATATGATCAGCTTGGACTTCTAAGATTGGTATCCTGCTCTCCTGTGAAAAAAATAACCTACAGTTTCAAAATTGTAGCTCTTTTACCTCCAAACTCCATTATCTTTCCCACTGATATTTTTCTTAACCTCAAGAGTGATTTCTCTTGAGATATGTGAAACTGCACAATCACAGCCAACATAAAGCCAGAGGCATACTCCCTTCTAAGAAAATACTATCTCATTTTTTTCAATCTTCTCCATCTTTCCATATTGCCCATTTTTCCTGCCATGTAATTATTGTGCTTTACCTGTTCTGCAGAGCATTTAAATATCTTGTACACAGCTGGGTCTGAATTCTTCTTGTCCAGCAAGTTCAAGAGATAAGATTTTCGCACAGACCTGTGCTTCTGCACAGATACTAACAGGAATTTCATTGAGGCTCTAAGTCCTTGGTGCTTGACAAAGGTTGGGGCCGTGGCAGCAGCAGAATTATCTGGCTAAGGATTAACTCTTCAAGAATGATTTTAAATTTACAAACCTATAAAACACCTGTGAAAACACACATGGAATTCAAGCCTGGCACTCTGGAGATGCAGCTCTTCTGCACAACTTCTATATTTCCCTCCACGAGCTTATTAGCTCCTCAGACAGAGCCCACTGTGGTCTCTGAATTCACACCTGTTGTTTAGTGCACCCAGATAAAATATGGTCTAATGTTCTCTGATTAAGGAAAAAATTTACTAGCTATATCCTTGCAATGTTTAGCAATACCCTTGACACTAAAGGGAAAAAAAGGATTATGTGAATCCACATTTGATGGGACTAGGCCAGATCATTTAAAAAGCAGAAAAGAGAAAGTCAAATGATCTGGTAAGGTAGAACACTAACATTAATATTATTTATGTAGGGTTGAATATATTCTAGATGAAGAATGTTATGCTACTATGACAGTAGTCATCCACCTCTATTTTTAAAAAAAGAGAGAAAGGAAGGAGTTCCTGAAAGACCAGTGCACAGATTCAGAACTAGTTTATTTTTCATAAGGAAACATCACATTTTCTACCTTTATGTTATTTGTCAAATTCCTTTTAACTTAATTGCTAAATGTTGAGGAGGATCAGGAGAACATTTATTGAATCTGTGACTATGAGTACCACTGACACTGTAATATAGGTGTTTGCCTTTTGTTCATTACAATAAGCATCAGCAAAGGAAGTATTGCATGCAATGTTTTGGAAAGAAAACAGGGTGTCAGCGTGATAGGTTACACACAAACCAATGATTGTTTGCTTGGAATGGTCTGTCTAATTTCTGATTATGCTGATGTTGTATATTTGATTATAGCACAACTCTTGAGCTATTCTTAAGGTTTCTTTACAGTTCCAAGTAATGGAGACACCAGCATTTTCCTCAGAAGTGCAGAACTGTGCCTGTAGTATAGTAGTGCATGAAAATACTGTTTTTGATTTTAACTCCTACATCCCAAGTTCCAAAAAATGGCATTAATGAAAGAACTATTTCAGTTTGTAGAGTTTTTTATACTTCAGTAGAATTGAATGTGCAAGAAAAACATCATTCAGCTCTCTTTTTGCTTGAGAGCAAACTAATGATTTTCAGGAATGCATCCTGAAATCTCAAGACAGTACCAAAAGCCTGATAAGTTTTGGGCAAACATTTGTTGTTGAAGCCTGCCCAGCTTCAGCAAGAGTAAATGGCTGACTAATAATGTACTGAAGATGTCTTTCCAGACCAGCTGAGATACAATTAAGGTCAGTCTCATTTTCCTTCCTCCTCTTCTCAAGAGAAAGGAAAGAAGGGACAACAACCTGATTCATGATTCTGTCCTGCCACTACTGGCACCACAGCATGGCAATTGTGTTGGAAAAAGTTCAGCTCATATTTAATTGCAGTTATGACAACAAAATTAAACTGCTATTTCTAGCATAGGTTTCCCTCTTCACCCCAGTGGCTCAGTTGATACACCTCTGATGGAATAGGAGTGTCACTGGCTGCCCACTTGTTTCCTGATATGTGGTTTTTCTCATCTCTTTTTCTGTCTCTAGAAGTGTTTCTGGATTTCAGGATTGTGATAGGCTAAATGGATCGGATGCCTTTATAGCAGATAGCTGGCATTTAATCTCAGGCATGTTGGTACATACCAGAGGCTGCTAAAAATCTACATCACCTCTCCCATCCCAGTGTGACAGAGCAAAGCTGGTCAAGACAGTGAATTCCATCTGGAGTTTTAATGTGGCGGGTGTGGAAAAAGCAGGCGTTTCTGATGGTCTGACCTTCTTCTATGAAAGCGGAAGGGCCATGTTGACCACTGGGAAATGCATGGAAACAAAATTTCTACTTAGTTCAATCTGTTTCATGTGTGTTTTCTGTAAAGTTTAACTTCAAAATGTAGTCTTGCTGTGGTGCCTGTGTTGCAGATGTCTGCATGTGCATCCATGGTAATTTAAAATAGAAGTCATGGTTTCCTAATAAAGATCTGGATAACATTAAACCAGAAGATAAATATTGATTCGTATTTTATCATATAATATTCTTCCATATGCTAGAAATTTGAAGTTTTCATCTCAAATCCATATAGGAGTTAAATTTGACCCCTAAGTTTCAGCTTAGTGCAAAGAGCAAGTAAATGCTGGAAATCAGGATTTGTAATGGCTAACCCAAACCATCCTTAACTACCTACACCTCTATAATGTCCTATACTGGCTATGCAACTGTAGAAACAGACTTAAAGAAGTAATCTGTCCTTTTAGCTAATAATATCAAAATGAGACCTTTTTCTTCACTTTGCCTGGACCTCTAACCTTTAAAGGTGAGTTAGACAGCTGCAGAAAACCTGATCTCATTTTCTGCCCCTGGCAAGATTTTTTCAAGTTCATCTTCTTTTTTTTCCCTTCTCTCAAAATCTGATGAAAAAATGAAATGTCATGAAAACAGGCTCTGAGGCTAAAAAACCCTCTGTCTGTCTCTGTGACAGATGTCAGTTTGAAAGGTTTCAGGTCACCTGTCAGAACTATGTCAGTATGATCCATACAAACATCTACTCAACCTCTAACACTGAGTTCTGCTTTTTAAAATACCCCTTGAAAAAGAATCAAATGATTTCAAGTCACTGCCTTTTCCCCTTTCTTTTAACTCTGATTAATGAGCCAAACTCTTAGGAAAAAAAAAGGTGGGGGGAAAGGAAGAAAGAGCCTTTAAGAAAGGACAGTTTGACCTTTTTGCGCCCCTGGCTGTGAACCAATCAGGATTCTCGTAATCCAAACACAGATGCCTGGAGCTAAACAAATACTATACTTGTGAACAAGAATTCAGTTTGCTGTCAAAATACAATGATGAGCACCAAAGTGCTGCTCTTAATAAAAATACCCTGAATTAAATGAAAATGTTTTTAATTAATAAAGGGAGTATAATGAGTAATGTCATACATCACTAATCATTTGGAAACAAACACATTGAGATATTTATGCATATATGTTACTTATGTACATTTAAACTGCAGTACCTCATCTCTACATGAGACATAATCCCATAATATTTTATGCCACCAGAAACACTGCTCATCTAATGCTGCAATTCAGTATTTTGTAATGATTAATTAAGAGGCTTGAATGTTATTTTGTTCCTAGCTTAGTGTCATAATGTTTGCATTATTTCTCACATGTGTGATCTGCCCTTTTAAAGACTAAGCCTCTGTTTTGTTAAAAAATTTAATTGCAGTATTAAAGGGAAGATCCCAGCTGCATGACAGTTTTCATCAGCATGTTAATAGTCTACCAAATAGATATGATTAGAGCTTTCTCCCAATTTCTATTTCATATGTCCCACATACTTCTTATCAAGTATTTTCTTGATGTCAGTGGGCATATTTTTGCATGTTTCTTAAAAATCTGTAATGTCAGGTTTAAGGTCCAATATCACAGTTGCAAAAAAAGATCCGGACATCAGATTGATACATCACAGATTCACCAGATACAAATTTAAATGTAATCACAAAGTAATTCAGTACTATTGTGGTTTTTTTTTTTTTCAGAGCTAAATATGTCATTTAATTCATGTATGAAACTGGTGAGAAAACATAGGTGGTGTTTTTATGGTATCTTTCTGCAGAACACTCTCATCAGGTGTAGAATTTTATTTTTTAACATTTTTCCAGTAAATATTTATGTGCCATTGCTCACTAAATGTCCATAATGTTTCCTTTTTCTCATATGTGCCTACAGAAAATGTGGAAACAAATTACAACATATTTGAGTTCCTCTTTTTTTTTTTTTTTTAATAATTAATGATGGCACTGTGCCACTCACCAGGGTATAATTTCATTAAGATTAAAACTGAGTCATATGACAAGAAAACAGTCAGTTTGGTATCAAAGCTCTTACAAAACAAGTATCAGCTTCATTTTGGGCAGTCCTAAAGAGACTTGAGAACAGTTGGAGACAAAACCATCCACAGAAAACTATTGTATTTTTTAGATGAATATAACCACAAGCATCCTGAAATACTTAACTGTGGCTAATCTCTTAGTGAGTCGTGTTTACACTGGTTTTCTCACTTTAATGTCAAATTCTTCCTTTTTTATTTTTCCAGTTGAACATTATTGTTTAATATAATCACAGAGTGGAAATGAAGAAATTTACATGTCATATTAAACTGCGAGGTGAACAGTATGATTATTTCAAAGCTCTGATGGGAATGGACAGTTTCACTGAAAACCTGCCAGCTGCGCAATTTTTCTGGTCACAGTGGACATGATGAAGACTGGACCATGACCGAACACCTTCTTTAATACTTACTGATGTAACTCCAAGTCCACCTTGCAAATGAGGGTTAACCACTTCAAAAAGCAATATTCCTTGTGTCTGCAGAATTGTAAGCAGTAATCAGAGAGATTTCCTTTCCGGTGTTCTCATAACTTCAAGGTTTACAAATAAATCTGCAAGATATAATTTTTTTCGTGTGCCAAAAGGCTTATTAATACTATGAGTTAAATGCTAAGAATGTTGAAAAATATGATAAATGATTTAACGTAACTTTGTTGCCCCCAGTTATTTTCAGCACTTAGTCTGTGACACACTGTTCCTCAAAATAAAGCAGTGAACTGAAAAATATACACAGTCCTTATCACACAGTAAGCCCTTTTAGAACCTAATAAATTAATTACATCTCTAAAGAAAGTCTTTCACTTGCTTCCCTCCTTTAGCATTGACAACTACATCTGGCCAGTCAGCCAGATACTCAAAGGGCATTATTGCATGTAAGAATCGGAAATGTTGAATCAGTTATTGGCATCACACTGGAATAACATGTTAATATTGCCACAAACAGTGGCCTTGTAAGAATAACACTTTGATGTTTCAAGAGTATTTAACAAGGGTATTAGGAAACAAACCAAACCAAACCAACAAAACCCCCAAACAAACCAAAACCCCACAAAACAACAAAAATAACAACAATAAACAGAAGGGAGAGTGAAAACAGCAATGATTGTGAAGATAGATGTCCCAGCTGAAACTAATAATTCTGAACAGCACTAAAATTAATTACTCTGTAGTTGTAAGCAGGCAGTGGATTTATGTTAAATGACAGAGTGTTTGCAAATTTTCCTGACCACTCAATTAGAAAATGTACCAAGTACAGGCATCAGCTGAGCATGCATTATTTAAGCAGTTGGTGTCTGGTAACAATCTGGAAGCGGCAATCGTTGTGGTTGCCTGTAGGAAAATTCACACTTTCTGGGAGAAATTCTTTCACCTTTGTGTGCCCACAGCACAGATCTCTCCTCATGGCAGCTGTAGGATACACTGGAACTTTGTGACCTGGAAAATGTGGGACAACTGACACAAGGTGACCCCCTGAATGCTGGGGTAGGCCCAATTAATTTAAAATTTTGCTTGGCCTTGTCTCTTCCAATTTTCTAAATCCTCTGGAAAAATGATTAATGCGTACACTGCCAAAGCGAAAATATTTTTGACCCTATTAAAGTCGACCAAGGGTAAACCAAGTGTAGGCTGGCATTGTATCAAACTAGCTTTATTAAATTTGATTGGAGGTTTGTATGAGGAAGGGACAGACAAGGACATTATTTTGCACAGCAACTCCCTTTTAAATGAAAATACTGGGAGGAATACAAAGTACTGGTATACATTGGTATGAAGCTGTATTTAACCTAGCAGAATTCTACAAAAAAAGAGATTATTTTTGAGAAGGCTTCGTATTTTCTCACTGTGAAAGCATATTGTCAGTGAAGTTGACTCATTATACAATGAGCATAATTTCCCTTGAAGGGGAAAGAAATTCAAACTTTACCTTACTTCTTGCCTTTTCAGATTTTTATTCCCCAAATTGTTCTTGTCTTGCCAACTCCAGTAGCTGGGGACACATTCAGAGAACGGTTCGAGGAGTTGGGTCTTCAGCAGATGTAGGCCTCTCAGCCATTGAAAGTGCTATTTTCAACATTTTCCCCACTTTCTACAGCACTCCTTTTTGTTGCTGCTATTGTTGCTGTTGTTAGAGAAGTGTTCCTGTTATGCCCTGGCTTAGCAGGTTTAGGGGAAGGTTCAGTAAGAAACTTTTGCTTGCAAACTTTAAAACACTAAAGTAGAAGTACTCGGCAAATTTTAAAACAACATCCGCACAAAGTAAGGCACTTCACAAACTTAAACTTAATAAACTTAAACTTAGCCAACTTCAATTTATTCAGATACAACAAGGCACTTATTAAGGCATTGACTGGAATTTTTTAGTCTGACTTACAATATATTTTGAGAAGAAGTTAGGAGAAGAAAGAGAGTAAGAAAAAAAAAGGATTCGAGTAGAAAGGTGTATAGTCACTGCCTGTGGATCCAGCGATGAGACTTGATTGTTGCAATTTCAGTGTCCATTGGTCAGAGTAATGGTTACAGTCTTGATCTGCTGGGTGTAGAGGAAGCCCATGAAATACAAAATTCAATGGGTTACTATATGCTCAGTCTTGGTGGGAAATGCCCAGGTAGCTCCCCTGGCCAGGGAGTTTTACACTATCTGATGTAACACTGTGGATCATGGGGCACTTTGGAGGCTTTGAGAAAGGGTCTTTATGACACCTTCTAAGACATGACAGCTGCCTCTTATGCAGTTGAGCCAATTACGCCCCATTAGAAGTGATGAATACCTTCAGGCCTACGTGTGAATGTCCTAATATCTTCCCTGCCTAAGGCATGATGAAAGCACTATCCCACTTTGCAAGATCTGCTTCTTATTGGCCTCTTCCCTATCTGGCTCAAACCCCTACTTGTAGCCTTGGTGGTGGGTGTGCACCCCCTCTGCACCTGGGTGGTTATTTTGTACATTGTCAGCAAAGCATCCACTGCTTTTATAAATGGCTGATTGTTTTGAGTCATTAACCGTTAACATTCCAGTCTCCCACAGCTCCAAAGTTCTGCATAAACTGAAAATCACTAGTTTCTCAACATTTATCCTGGTGCATTAGTGATCTTTAAATACAAGACCATATTCTTAGCTTGCAGGAACATTTTAAGGCTGCAAAAGGAATAATGTCCAGATCTGATTCCTCACTGCAATTATTGCAGCTAAAAAAAAAAAAAAAAAGAACCAGAATTAACATGAGTTTGCAATTTTCTGAATAGAAAAGAGTGATGCTGCTCTGTTTTCCAACCCCCTAAAACCTGACGAATTCAGGTGTCATCCTGTTCTTACTGATTCTTCTTGGTCTTTTTATGTATTCTGTTGTCAAGTTTAGCTAATTTCAGGTAAATTTACACAAAGAGGGCAATTGGTCACAGGTTTGTCAGCTGCCAGTGCACTCTTGCCTAACTCCAGCTTGGAAAGTGCAACTCCATTAATTTAATTTGATATTATTTGTTTGCAGGGAGGGCCTGCTAACTATGATGCAGGACCTCCAAACTGACTCTTCCTTGCTTAGCGGCTTAACTGGGATATGTGCAGGAGCCACTAGACACCTTGAGGTGATGGTTATGGAGTGAAGATCTGAGGATAAAATAACTCATTTAACAGTATTTTACTGCTTTGTATCAGTTGACATTAAATCACAACCCCCGGTTAAATGTAGTGGTACAGTGCAGAGGAAAACATTCACATATTTTAGTACTTTTGAGTGATATAAGGATTATAGCTACAAAATGTTCTGTACTGACAACATGAAATAATCTTTCAGCCACTCAAGAAAGAGCTAAAACAGAAACTGCACAGCCCAGACAGCCTGACTTAGAGGTGCAACTACAGTGAAAAAATAACCAGGCTACCATCTTTGAGGAGATGGACATAATGAGGCACATGAATGACAGCCTTATTTTGGTAAGATGTGAGCTCACTGGAGACCACCACCAAGCTGTCAGCAGATAAACATTAAATGATTTTGATGAAATGACTGAAATTCTGGTTGAATTAAGCCTGAACTAAAATAAAGAGGCCCCTGAACATCCTTATTGAACTTCCCCCAAAGACAAATTTGGCAACTTCAGAAAACCTTATATGACATCTAGATGTAGTGTAAATATAAATATACACATATACAGATATATATGCATGAAACTTTTAAATTGGACAAATTGTATTTGCCTACAGTAGTTTTAATGTACTTATCTGGAGTCAGAGTGAAGTTCTGACTTCTATTCCTCCAGGTGATATATCAGTAAAAGATAGCTAAAAATTAGACATGATATAAAAAGTTTGGAGCTGACTATCAAACACGATTTTTTTAAAAAATCATGCCTCATCCATTTATATCTAAGCAATCACTAATATAAAGAGATCTTTGAATGTCTACTTACTGATATAAATTTGAATTAGCTGAAATTAAGGACAGTGCAAGCGTGATGTGAAGGAACTTAGATTTAGGCATGTGAAAGAGAAACATGATGGTAGCGCATCCCAATCTAAAATACAAAATGGTTACAAGGATTGTTGAAATGGAAAACAGGAGTGTACCACTGCTGTACTTCAACTATTTCATAGTTTGCCCATGAGTAGACTTGGTAACCTCTTCATTAAGTTAGTCTTTCTAGCACATAGTGGACTGCCTACGGCATTTCTGAGAATAGCATCAGATCCAAGAGTTAAAACAAAAATATTTACATAATTCTGATCAACTTTTAATACTGAAACTTCAAAGGTGAGTTCACCAAGGGGTGAGAGGACTTTCAGAGAATGCAAGTCTAATTTGCTGAAGAGATGCAGACAGTTTTTAAAATGACTAAACAAATTGCAATTAATTTTTTCCAGTTCTACGTTATCTCCATACTTGATGTATTTATAAGATATCCATAATTTGTACTTAACTGAAGTATTTTGAGTTAAATTTTCATTAAAATTTTCCCTTGATAACTAGAAAGAGAAACACAGAGAAACCTGTAAACGGGTTCAACCAAATATTTTACTCATCTGTAATACAAACTTCTAATTAGAGGGCAACATCTGCAGTTGATGTTTTGCAAATGCGATTTTGGAGATACTTCAAAAGCATCTTATGTTAGGTTCTGTATTTGGTTTGCTTCTAGGGCTTCCACTTCTGTGGCCTTTACCACCACCTTGCTATTTTGCTTTTCCTTTCTGCCTTTCTGGAGAAGTCAGTAATTTTGTTGACAACTGTCCATAAAAAGACAAATTATGCTTTCCTGCCAAGCTGTTTGGGTGTTGTTGAACTACATGCTTGGTGATTACCTGTCCACTCTTGGAGACTAGGGGATAAATCAATTGGGGGGATAGTGAATGTTTCTTATATCTTGCAAAGGGAATACGAACAATATCTGCATATTAAGCAGGACACCTATTTTCATTTCGAAGCTACGCAGTGGTGAACATCAGAGAAGGAGGCTTTGTG